ATTAGCAGTGGTGACTTCTGCTGAAGAAGCGATGAGAAGCATTGAATAGGGAGACAACTTCACATACCAAATCTTTGCAGTGACTCTCACAAGTATTTGAAGATCAGGCTATCTCAGGGCATGGGGCAGGGATCTTGGTTCATGTGCCAGGAATTGCATATACCCTGGCTGTGACTTCCATTTACCAAAAGCTAAATAACTTGCCATGTGGATTAGGAGAGCACAGTCCCAGATACTTCACAGCCTTGATGCAGGCATTCTGGCACATGGATCTGCTGCAGATTTTTGTGGTGGAAACGTTGTGTTTCAGCTTCTCCATGTGTATCGCTCCCGGTGCCTTTCAGGTGTGTTCTGGCAGGGTCCCCAGGGCCTGCCTGGTGCCTCCAAGGCTTTGTGCCACAACCATGCAGCTTGCTCTGCCTTTCAGCTCTGATTTGTTCTCGTTTGGCCATCGCAGTCTCCAGCAAATTGGATATGCATTAGCAAAGCAATTTGGTAGAAGTGCAGCAAGTGTGACTTTCAGCTGCCCACACACAAGATTGTATCATAGCAAAAGAAGGTTAAAGTCTTTCCCGAGGTGGCTGTGGTGAGATCACACTGAGATTATATATAAATTACACAGGGAAAATTAATTTAAATGAGAGGATTAAATAGCTACTGTTTAATAAGATGAATAGTTTGGGCTTATGTTTGTAATTGCCAGTTATTTTTCTACTGAAAGACTGATTCTGGCTGGTAAAATTTGTTAGTACCTCTTGCTAACCAAGAGAAAATACATTCTTTAGGTTCTTTACTGTCACAGAAAAGACAGATGTTGCACCTCTTGTTTACTAGGCATACAACTTGTGATTTGGGCCAAAGTGCAGCATCTATCAAAATACAGCTTAATTAACTGCAGGGGCTTTCAGTAACTAATTAGGCATGCTAGAATAACATAAAGAAATATTACTTTATGCTTTGCATAGAAAACTAATTTGCTCACTGTGCCAGGGGAGCTATTACTTGGAATTAATTGGTGATTTGAATTGATTGGTCCTGTCACTGTCCTCGAAGATGTTGCAGTGGGAGGACTTCTCACTCCACTGGGTCTTTACTCATAGCGGTGCTTTTCTGCCTTTTGACTCCCAGGTGACTTGTGACTTCTTGCAGAAGTAGACAGGTCTGCCACAGCTGACAGAGAATGTTGAGGGGCAGGAGCAGCTGCTGCTCCCTTCAGAGCCCTTCAACTTCCCAGTTGAGAAGTGCTGTAGTGAGCATGCAGTGTGCTTCCAGAGTGGAGGGGAAAGGTGCTGCTTATGTTGGGTTTTCAGACAATTTGCCCTTCCATGTGCTGCTTAACAGCACGGGAGTAAAATGGTTTGCTTTCTTTAAACTGCCTGCTTCCCACTGCTGCAACCGATGCACTGTGCCCCTGACAGATCTTTCAGGAGCCTAAGAAAGCCAATCAGGTGGAGCAGGTGCTGGTGGAATATGCCAAGTGCATAAAGGTAAGCTGAGCTGGTGGGAGTGCTGCTGAAGAAGGCAGTGTAGGAGGGCTCTAGCCCGGCTGTGGGAGTGTTTCTGAAGCACAGAAATCTGGTTTAAGTTGCTGGTCCCTCTCCTGCAGCGCTGCAGCCAGGCAGGAGCACAGATGACAGGGGCCTTGCTGCTTTCTGTGGTTGGAGGTAAAATGAGCGAAGGGATCAACTTCTCTGATGACCTGGGCAGGTAAGGGGGCTGCTTCTTGGAAGGTGAGTGCTGGGCTTGTGGTGCGGTGATTCCAGGCAGGATGGATATGTCGGTACTTGCATAGATAGAAAATCCTGGGGAGAATGTGGCCTAGGTCTGCTGGGTGGTGTAAAACCTGCTTGTCCAGGCTACTTTTCAGCCTAACAGCAGTTAGGCTTGCTGTGCTAGATAATCCCTTGCTCTGGCACCCTGAATCCCTTTGCAGCTTTCTGTTCAGAACATGCTTGTCAGACTGCTGTGCTTTATTGCCGCCTCTGGTTTTCAGGGCTGGCTGTCTTTCAGGGGTGCAGTGACCTCTAATTTGTCAGTCTATTGGCAAAGTGCTTCTAGGATGAGACATTAAGAATAATGCAGTCCTCCTCCCTTGCAGGTGTGTGATTATGGTGGGAATGCCTTACCCCAACATTAAATCCCCAGAGCTCCAGGAAAAAATGACGTGGCTTGACAGAACAATGGTAATAGACACACACACATCTGCCTGTTTCACTTCTTTTTAGTATTAACTTTCTGCACAGCACACAAATCCCAGGGCTGCCTTCAAACATCATTGTTCTGAGCTTGCCCCAGGAGTCCACGCTGTACACATACAGGTGGCCCTAAGCACAGGGAAGAAGCTCAGTGGAGGGTCTCACTGAGAGTCCCAAGTACAAGGGGAGCAAGGTCCCATTACCTCAGAGGTGGCGTGGTGGCAGGAGCTGCTTTTCCTCTCAGCTTTCTTATTCCTTCTCACTGCCCACTGGAGATGCTGTTCCTGGGCAGCTGGGGAGAAGTTTTATTGCCTTTGAGAGAGCCTTGGGCTGGCTTTTGTGAATGCTCAACATAGTTTTCTGGTCACAACCTTTCTTCTGTCCCTCCTTATTCTCAGCTTGGGGTCTGCTTGGCCAGCCATTCACACTGCAGGGGTAAAAGCACGTGCCTGACTCTGTCAGTAAGACTCCCCAGTTTGATTTACATCTGCCTCATGTTCAGTCTTGCCTATTTCTCCTTTCCAGCCCAGAGCTGCTGGCCAGGCACCTAGCAGAGTGCTGATTGAAAACCTGTGCATGAAGGCAGTAAACCAGTCAATAGGTAATTCATTCTTCCTTGCCAGGCTGGGGGATACAAAACGTGACTGCGCTGAATTAGGAGGGTGAGAAAAAGGATGCATTACCAATCCATCTAAGTACAGATGATGGGAGCATGAGCTTCCTTGCCTGAGAACAAACACTTGAGTGGGCTATTTTACTGTGGATGTGCACTCTGTACAGGCAGAGCCATTCGGCATCAGAAGGACTTTGCAAGCATCCTGCTCCTGGACCACAGGTACGCGCGCCCTGCCATCTTTAACAAACTGCCACAGTGGATCAGGGAGAGAACCCAGGTGAAACCTGCCTTTGGAGCAGCGTTTGCAGAGTTAAGAAAGGTCAGAACTTGTCTTACGAGCTGCTACTCCAGCTGTTGCCTCTGTTTTCACTTCAGAGTAAGGCCAGGGGAGAACTAACTGGTTTTGTGTGTTTCTAGTTCCACCGAGGGAAGCTGGATGCTTTGTGATGTGGCCCAGGGAATGGGCTGTAGGCCTCTGAAGAACACCCGAAGCAACACAAGTTCGTGTTTTTCTGTACCACAGTTTGTGAATCTCTGCTTTCTGCCTCCTGTGTGGAAGTTTGCTGTTCAGTAGCTGAGCGCTGTGATGGTAAAGCACCATAACCAGGAGGCAAGCTGACTGTAGGCCTGAGATAGGCGGAGGGAGTCATGACAGGCTCCTATTTGTTTACTTTTGTTACATTTGTTCTGCTGTTAAGGTTTTATTTAAATTGATAAAATGTTTTCAACCCAAACACTTAAGTGTGGGGAGTATCATTACTCTGACTGAACACTTCTGCCTTTTCCGATCAAGCGCAGGGCATTTGATGACCACTGAAAACAGAGCTTTTCACAAGAATTATGAACTATCAGGCCAGTAGTTTGTGTCATGTTGGAATTCACAGTCAGGCTGGTAAGAGAGGGCAGCTAAAAGTAACATTTTGTATCCCCTTCTTTCTACCTTGCTTCAAGCAAGCAATAGTTTCAAGGAGCAGTTCATTCTTTGAAGAGAGTAACAATATGGCCATAATACAGCACAGCACTTCACTTCTCCTTTGATCATGATTAAGCACAAGATTGCTCTGCTCTTTTGAATTCAAAAACCTGGGCACAGTAAAAAGAGCAAAGTACCTTTCTGTAGAAATTGGTAAAACTTTGGGTTTTGATGTAACCTTCCTGGGGTTGTTTCCTAGGCTGGGGGTCAGTGATAACAACAGGGATGGCCACAGCCCTCCCTAGCTTTCTGCCGTACAGAGCAAGTCTCTTCCCAGGTGCTTCTTTTGCCTCCCTGCCAGTTTCAGCAGCTGGATGCTACTGCTCAAGGCTCTTCACAGTGGAGAAAGCACTTACTTATGACAGAGCTGATGCTCACTCCTCCTCTGTTAATTAGCCCTACAGGGGAAGTAACAGCTGCTCCTGAGAAACGTCCATGGAGAGGCTCCTGCCCCTTCATCAGGTACAAACCCCACAGTCTGGCATGAGCTCTGCCTTAAAGCCAGTGAAAGCAGCAGCAGGAGTGGGGGCACCTGCTTGTAAGAGCTGGGGTGTAAGGCCAGCTCCAGCCTGAAGCAAGTGGACAGCTGGGCTTTCCCTTAACACACTCCCACTGAGCACGCTTCCTGCTTTTACCAAAGTCAAGGCTGCAAGGACCAGCTTCCTTCAACTTTATTGAATTTTTTTCAGACAGGCAAAGAGTTACCATGAGCCAGGTAGAGAAAGAAACCATCAAGTGCAGAGGCACTGGGAATTAGACCCCCAAGAAGGACACACACACACTCATTTCATCTTCTAGCAACACCCAGGCAAACAGGAACTTCAGCAAGCAGCAAGGAGATGAATGAGGCCAGGGGGTGTTTGCCTGCAAGGGCTGTTTTTGCAGTCACCACCAGTCACATTAGGAAAGACAGAAGGCCCTTTAAATCAGGAGCAATGCTAGTTCTGATCCTCTGAGCACAGGCTGCCCCACTGCCCGCCAGCTAAGGCGGGATTTATTGAGCCAGTGTGAGCCGCAGCAGCATTTGAGATGGAATGTAGTAGTATTTTGGGTGCAGAGTAGGAGGCAGCAGCAGCAGAACCCTCACTGGTAACTATTACTTCAGCAGCAGTTGGCTTCTGCCATACCAGTGCCCACCCTCCTGGACGTGCTTCCACAGCTGGTGTCTCTCAAAGGTGCTTAGTTCAAGAGTCCTGAGGGTCACACCGATGCTCATCTATGACTCCCAGTCATCCTCATCCTCCTCACCCGCGGGCTGCTGTGGTGGTGGGAGCGGGGGTATTGAGTCTGACATACGAGCAAAGGCACCAGCAGGACTTCCAGGAGCATCGGGATTTCCAGAGGCTCCCGGCCCTTTCCCTGAAATACCTGTGAGGGAAGGAAAAGTCAGCAGTGAGTGATAGCTGTGGACTAGAGACACACAGGCTCAACAAGGGAGAGAAAAAACCACGCCTCGCATGGCTGTGCCCAGCACCCAGGCAAGCAGAACAGCCAGCATGCTTAAACACTGCCCCAGCCCTGTGCCAAGGACTCATTTAACTAAAGCTCCTACAAGGACAGGCTGAGAGAGCTGGGCTTGTGCAGCCTGGAGAAGAGAAGGCTCAGGGGAGATCTTAGAGCAGCTTCCAGTGCCTGAACGGGGATAAGGGTTTAAACTGACAGAAGGTAGGTTTAGATTGGATATTGGGAAGAAATTCTTCACTGTGAGGGTGCTGAGGCGCTGGCACAGGGTGCCCAGAGAAGCTGTGGCTGCCCCATCCCTCGCAGTGTTCAAGGCCAGGTTGGACACAGGGGCTTGGAGCAACCTGCTCTAGTGGAAGGTGTCCCTGCCTGTGGCAGAGGGTTGGAACTGGATGGTCCCTTCCAAGCCAAACCATTCTGTGCTTCCTGAGCAAGCCCACACCCTCCTCTGCCTTGTGTCAAGTACTGAGGGGTGACGCTAGTCCTAAATACCCCATGTACCTGCCAAGGCCTCCCCCAGGTCTCTGTTCCTGTATCTAGGGCTGTGTCTGACACAAGTGAGGTGCCAAAAGTGCTCTCCCTCTTTCCCGGGGGAAGGAGCAGCCACCCTGCAGGACAGTACCTTTGCGCCTCAGCACCAGCTTGTTGAAGAGGTCTGACATCAAATCTCCACCTTGTCCCGTAGCTCTCACTGAAACAGCAAAACAAGTCAGACAAGAAACAGCGTCAGTCTGAACCAGCACTATGGCAAAAGCATTCTGCAATACTGCCTTCAGATTAAAGAAATAAAACCACAGGCTGACTGCTAACTTGTATCACAACCACTCATCTCTCCCATTATAGTCCAGTTGTAGGTCAGGAAAACCCCAGGCATGGAAAGGTAGCAGCATCTTCTGGGGAAATCCAAGTATGCAATTCTCAAGGCACAAGAGGGGCTGAGCATTTGCAGTCTCATTCTGCCAAACCAGCTCCATCAGTGCCCTCCTCAGCTCCTAAACTGAGGGGCTCGAATTGGCTCAGCCCTGCCCCTCCTGGCCCTAAAGTTTCCTTTCTGTGCCTGCCCCATGCAGCACACGGGAAGCTCCAATGCCTGCCCTGAGGCAGAGCAGGTCTTCATCAAGAACACAAACACCCCTCTGGCAGATGGCATTTAGCAAGTTCACACAGCTCTGGCTGAATGTGAAGCACTGAGGCCTCCACCAGCCTGTGAGGAGAGACGCCTTTCTGCTCTGTGTGTTCACCCATCTGCCTCCAGCCCCGCACCTCCCCAGCCTGGGGCTGACAGCAAGGAAGATCTGTTCTGCCAAAGAGCCTCCGTACCTTGTTCTTGTTCCTTCTGCTTCTTCTTCTCCAGCTTCCTCTCCTTGACACTGCGGAGGTTGGCCTTCCCGATGCCACCGGCCTGGCGGATGGACTCCAGGAGACTGGCACGCCCAGTAGAGGGGTTCACCACCTCCTTTGGGGCTCCCTGGACTGAAGCTGCAGGGACAGGAAGGACAGGCAGCAGCCAGGCACTAGTGCACCAGCTACAGGCACAGCCAAATCCCCACGGAAAGGGCTGAACTGATACCCTGCCAGCTTCTGCTCAGGGCTGTAATCCAGGCCCAGACACCTCTCAGTGACAGGCTTATGCTCAGCCCAGCCAGCAGGAGCCCTGCCAATGGAGAACTGAAGGCTTGCAGCTCCTAGGCAGGTGGGAGCACCTTGCACTTCCACTGCAGCTTCCCTCCTTTGCCAGAAGGATAGGAAGCCACGGGGAACCAACGAGGCCATGGGCTGAAGCCAAGGAGTCAGAGCTAGGCTCTGCTGGTGCAATGTGGAGATGCCCAGCCCTTACCTGCAGGCACGGCGCTGCTGCTCTCCTCGCTCGCTGTCCGGGCTGGCTCAGAGGGGGCTGTGGGCTGGGGCAGGGGTGGCGGAGGAGGCACAGTAGTTGGCATAACAGGAGGTGGTGGTGGAGGTGGTGGTGGTGGAGGTGGTGGCATCAGCTCAGCATCTTGAAGGTCTGAAAGATGAAACAAGTTGTATCTGAACAGTCCCAGAGGACAGCACACTGAGAGCTTCAGCTCAGAGCTTCACATGCCTCAGCAGCAACACAGCAGAGGCCTCAGCACTCACCGTACAGCAGAGCGCTCCCACCCTATGCAGCATCTCTTGACAGCAGGCAGGGCTTGAGATTCCCCTGCTCTGCCCTCCCCAGCTGCATCCCCCTCACACATGAGCATCCCACCATGAGGCCAGTCTGTCAGGCACACAGCGCTCCCTCCTCCCTAGCCATGCAGAGGGTGAGGGAGGGAAAGGGCCAGGAGACTGGCTGGCAATCTTGAGTAGGTTGACTCAAGCATAAGCACAAGCCAGAGGTTATCTCAAATATCCATCTTGAAATCCCCACCAAGGGTCTTTTTGCCTTGTCTTCATCTTTTAGTAATCTCTGCCTTCCTCATCCACAGGGCCCTGGGATCAGGAATGGGAAATACCTGGTTGCAAACGTTCCACTGACTCGGTGTTGAAAGTGGGGAGCTCTGGAATAGCACTGCTGGGGGCAGACGGTGCGATGCCAGGGCCCAGATCAGCACTGTACATGAGATCTGCAGCAATGCCAGGCAGGTCTGGCAGGTAGGATGGCACATCTATCTCAGGGACCTGCCCCAGGTCTGGCACATAGAAGTAATTTTCAGCTACCTAAAAGAAACCCAAAACAAAAACCTAAGTTGGAGACTGTGCACTTGCTTTTCCTTGCAGCAAACAGGGGCACTGCAGGGAACAACTTGGGCAGAAATCCTCTGAAGGGGAAGTAGCTGCATCCCCACAGCTGCATCTCACTTGTCGGTCCAGCTGTCCCCTCTTGGTGATGGAAAGAGGAGCATCAAAGAGCTTCTCTTCTGTCTCTGTTTCCAGAGCCACATGAGTCTTGGTCACTGCTCCAGCCAGAGGATCCAGAAAAACATACTTCTTGTACCTATGGGTAGAGGACAAGTATTTCAGTGATGTTGCCTCAGGAGCCAAGACCAGAAGAAACAGTTCGCCATTGGTGGTGGAGATCTCCTGACTCATTCATGAAGGTGGAACATGTTGGGCCTTCCAGTTTTCTCTTAGAATAACGGTTTGGGTTGGAAGGGACCTTAAAGTTCATCTATTTCCAAACCCCTGCCATGGGCAGGGACACTTTCCACTACCCCAGATTGCTACAAGCCCCTGTGTCCAACCTGGCCTTGAACACTACCAGGGATGGAGCAGCCCCAACTTCTCTGGGCAACCTGTGCCAGTGCCTCACCATCCTCACAGGGAAGAACTTCTTCCCCATTTTTAGCCCCATTTTCCTTTCTTTCCTCTCCAATCAGCTCCCCACCCTGCCGATGCAGCCTCCACATCGTCCTAAAACAAAGCCCTGCTGCACTGCCATCATTACCAAGCTCTCTCCTTCCCACCACCTGGCCTGAAAAGGTCCTACAGCCTGCAGCAGGACACCAGTCTCTCCTGGTGACTTGTCACTCAAAGTCCAGGAGGAAAAACAAACAGAGGAAATAATCCAAGGCTCAGGAGAAGAAAGAGAAGGTCCAACAGCTGAAAGCACAAGGAAGGGCTTAAAGAAGCTCTTTGATATGAGGAGAAGGAGGCAAAGCCTGATGGGAGAGGGAACTGCAGTGAGGGAGGCAGGGGAGATATCAAAAGAGCAAGAGCAGTGAAGCATTGCTGTGAGGAATCATCAGAAGAAGGAGCAGTACCTAGGCTGGCACATGGGGCAGAGAAGGGCAGGAGTGACAGCAGCTCTCAAGGCTGGAGAGAAATTACAGGGGAATGACAGGAAAAACTAAGTCAGTGAAGGGACATGCAAAACTGGGTTGAAAGCAGGTAAATGGAGGATCAGGTACAGACAAAA